GTTAAAAGATAAAAGAATCACTTCTTCGAAAGTAATTAGTTATCTTGCGTTTAACAGTTTCGGTAGAAAGTCAATTTCAACGGTCAACAAATTTTCCCTTTTTTTATTTTGTAAATTGCGAAAAAACTGTATTTCTATGATACAATATTTTGACCTAAACATATGTAAAATGTTCCGGGGAATCGATTGGCGTCACAAAACTGCAAAATTCCTAATTGTTTTGAAGTTATAAGCGGATTTATATTTTTGATATTTTTGACTTTATCAGAAATTTTCTCGATAACTATTTATTGTAGAGCACTGATCTTTTTTATATATGATGGAAAATTAGATTTTGTTTCCAACGGTACTAAATATAAGAGGTTATCTCCAATAAGTGTGGAGTTATTGGGCAATAGACCGCTCCGGGTACCAAAAATCAACCAAAGTCTCGACAAAAATCCAAAAAAAAAATCAACGTTAAAATTGATCCAGTTAACGTTTTTTGCATTTGTAGAGGTGCTAAAGACTCAAAAAAATACATAAAACGTTATTTGGTCAAATTTAAAAAAATACAACTTTTTCGAATTTTTGAAATATGGTTTTCTAGACGCAAAATTACACGCTGAACACTATGCAACAAGTTAAAATGTTGACCTGTTTAGGTCATCCCCAACACATTTGCATTTTTGCTTAATTTTCACAAAATCTATTCACTTTCGGTATGGGTTAAAAGATAAAAGAATCACTTCTTCGAAAGTAATTAGTTATCTTGCATTTAACAGTTTCGGTAGAAAGTCAATTTCAACGGTTTTTCATTAGAAAGCAACTCCAGGAAGGAGTTAAACCGCGCAATAAATTAAAAATAAAAATAAATATTGCCTCAATTCGTAAACAATCACTTTTTTTGAGGTCCATTAGTGCTCCCGTCATTATTTTTTCAAGCAAAAGTACAAGTTTTATCACGTAATGAGACTTCAATTTAAAATAATGCGTCCGAAATGATTAATTTCGTTTACCGTTTTGGTGTTTTTACGAATCGCCCACCTGATTTTGAAAAATAGGCCGGGTCTAATTACAACGTTCGGCCTGAACTTTGACACTTTGGCAGGTCCTTTGCACCGTTACCCCAAAAGTCTAGTTGTTCTAGTTTTTTGCGAGTACGTCACCCCTAACCAGTCTGAGGTTGCAACGAGACAGCTGGTTACAGTTCCTATACTGATTTCTTGAAGCAGCTGATATCAGGTCTTGTTCCCGGTTAACGCCGAGCTATTGTATGCAACATATTCGTTGTATCTCAAAAATTTCACAAATTCAGTTCCCCTCTGATCGAAAATCGGCCCTTCAATAACTCAATCAGTCTGGAGTCTGGCTGAAACCTAACCGAACTTTTTCATGTCCTTGGAGAACCGTCAAGTGCAGGGAAAGTGACGTTTTAGTATGTATTTTCGAGTCATGTGTGATATTTGTTGGTAATAAACGGAAGGGGGTGTCGCGGTCTAAGAACTCTCATTGGAGCGAGTCCGCATCTGCCCTATGGCACACATGGCGCCGGTTGACCCCCGCGAATCTACTTACGCGTTACGCATTGTTTCAGATAGGGCCGGTTGACCTTTGACTGCTCTCTTCTAACCCCCAACCGTTGCGACAATTAATTGCCTAATTACACACAAGCCGTTGACTCCTCGCTTTTTAGACCCACACAGAGCTTCCACCAAAAAAACAACTTATCTATTTTTTCAAATTTACCACCAATTTTAACAAACGGTTTATTTAAATAATCTTCGAATCACATTTTTCTTCAACTAAGAGGAGTTATTGGCGATACACAGCCCCGAGTATCAAAAATCGACTAAAATTTTATCAAAAATCTAAAAATTGGAAATTTCAAAATTGATCGAAATGCACTTCAAGGGGTTTCAAAGTGCATAAAACGTTGAACAATTCAAAAATTAGAAAATTGTAAACATTTTGTATAAATATACATATAGTGCCAAAAATCGACCAACTTCTCGACAAAAATCAACTTTAACTTTAAAATACGTCCATATAACGTTTTTTACATTTCTAAAGGTCCTAAAAGTTCAAAAAAGTGCATAAAACGTTTTTGGGTCAAGTTTAAAATTACGGATTTTTTGAGTTTTTGAAAATATGGTTTTCCAGACGTAAAATACTATGCAACAAGTTAAAACACTCTACGATGCATAGTTTTTGAGATATTGAGTAATAAGGTTAAGAATAGGAATAAAAGCATCCTATTTTGACCAAAAAATCAAAATTTTTTGATTCTTATAAAAAATTAGTGCTATATGTAAAATTAACCGAAAAATACGCCTATACAAACCGTTTTGACCTAAAACTCATAGTTTTTGAGATATTAATTTTTTATGAAAAAAAGTAAAAATAGCTCTGTACCCGGAACCATAACCCGGAGCGACTTCCGGTTTGCATCATTCGATAGCTCTAAGTCTTATAGTTTCGTAAAAACACGCGTTTAAAATTTCCCAATTTTGAGAATTTTTACTTTTTAAACGACGATTACGGCTAAACTATTACACTTAGAGAGATATTATTTTTTTATGAAAAAAACTAAAAAAAATAGATAAAACGTTATTTGGCCAAAATTAAAAAAATACGAATTTTTTGAATTTTTAAAGGTAGTAAAATCGTAAAAATAATCAATTTTCCTTAAGTCGTAAAAACGCTTGAAATATGGTTTTCTAGACGTAAAATTACACGCTGAACACTACACAACAAGTTAAAATGCTCTACGATGAGTAGTTTTTAAGATATTGAGTAATAAAGTTGAGAATTGGTTTATATTCAGTTCTAACAAAAAAAATATATTTTTTTAATTATATCAAAAACCGATGCAATACTCATAGAATTCGCCTGTATAATTTGTTTTGATCTAGGACACATCGTTTTCGAGTTATGATCTTTAAAAAAAAAACTAAAAAAT